CCCCAAAACCCCAAAACCCCGGAAAGGCTATACTCTCTAATTTTAAGAAATATAAAATAAATTCTTATATATCTGTGAATGCTTGAGTGCTATAGTGAATGTCATTTCTTAGTGAGTACAACCTATTGAAAGTTTATTTATGTGAATTTTACCTTAGACTTGAAGAGGAATTCTGCATATTGCGAGGCTTCGTCTCTTCTTCTGAAGTAAATCTTATCAACAGGTTCCCTAATTAAGCAATTTTAAATTTGAATTATTACTCAATGTCTCCTTAGAAGTCATCTTTGAAAGTGCTTTTCAGATTTTAATTCAGAGTATATTACTACAGATCTTATAAGTTTAATTTGATTTTACAGGATTAAGAGTGAGCCACATGCCTGGGGACAATTGATTTTCTGGTTTCTCATTGAGATGATCTTTGATCTCCTCCCTTACATCCTTGTTCTTGTTGTTTACTGCCAGAATTTTGTGGATTTTCTTGTAATTCCCATCCATTTATTCTTCATAAGAGGGCAGTTACTGTGTGTTTACATCGATTCCTGCTTGGGTCTTCTTCCTATAAATCGTTTTAATAAGAGCATAGCTGAGTCACTTACATCTTCTTTGATTCTTGATAGTCGTCCCACCTAGTTATATAAAGTGTTAAATCAAAGAATATGATTACTTTTGGTCTCTCTCTTGGTTATACTCTTTAATAAGTTTATGTTTTTGAGCAGCTGTTAGCATATTTTATTTAATAATTAATTATAATTAAATTCTAATTAATCAGACAAATTAATTTCTAGAGGCATTACCCCCATTCACACTACTTAACATTAAATTATTATGATTTCTAGTTGAAGATGATTAAGGCCTTTGACCAGACTGCCCTCTATTTATATACTACTGTCCATTTCCCTAGCTACTTTTAGTCTAAGGTGCACCTAAAAGATTTGATGCCTATGATTGACTTTATCTGACACTTTACAACTGCTAAGGTCTGCTGCTTTAAGCAGCTTAAGTATGCAAATTATAACTGGAGACTGCTCTTTAAGAGTGATAGGGTTCTCCTTGGAGATGCTATTGCTGATCATTATTTTGATTTATCGGACTGCGAGTCAAGGAGTGCTATTATGCATTTCTTTCCTCACTTTTCTTTATCAGGATGCTGCTCTTCTTACCTGACTTTGAATTACTAGTGCGTCTCTGAATCTATTGTTACTTTTTATAGTGCTATAGAGTATTCTTGATCTGCTCTGAGAGAGACATGTCATTCTTCTCATTGCTATTAGACTATTGATTCACAGACTGATTTACTTTGCCTTGGTTAGCAATGAACGTAGAGTTTTGGTTTTAAAGTAGCCTAGTTGGTAGACATACTCTGGAATGATCGTACGAATGCTAGATAGATGAAAGATTGTTGATTGATCTTCTATTAGAGTCTATTTTTTCCAAAAATTTGACACTCTGCCTTGGATTTATTGATTAATCAGTATGATTGTTATTGTACATCGACATAGTTTGATGTGAAACTTATTGCTAGTAGCTTTGTTGCTATTGGTGCATGTTCCTTTGTTTTTGTGAATTCATGGAAATGTACATATTAGGATCATCATAATCTTCTCCCTAGATACTCTGATCATTTGATACTGAAGAATATAGATGCATCAGAGACGGAGATCTGTCGAACCCATTGTACTAATGTACATTCATGTCAGATTGAGAAGCAGCCTAAAATGTCTCTTAGAAATGATTTATTTATTGACTCGTATTAGCTCCAGCCTTTATCATACTCTCCAATTCTTGGATATATTGCTTGAGTTCCTTGATTTCAAGCATATAGTTGTCTATTTGCACGAGTGAGACATCTCTCATATTCTTGAGATTATCATTTTCCTTGTTAGAGTCTCTATACTTGAGAGCCAACTTGTCATACTTCTCTGAGACTTCTTCAAGCTCCTGCTTGAATCCATCTATATACTTGTTCAAGAATTTAATCTTCTGAGCAGACTTGACAATTAAAAAGGTGATTGTTTGGTCTTCCACGCTTGTATTATTATCATATCTATCACATGACTACTCCTACTAGTCCAGCTATATCTGACTTATGAGATAATCTGCGGCGTCTTAGAGATCTTCCTAACTGAATTTGACACCTAGCACACCTTCTTTCTTTGATAACTGATCAATAACATCAGTGAACTCTCTTTGAAGTTCCTTGAACTATTCATTTTGGTGTTCAAGCTGGAGTTATAGACTCTGTATTTGCTGATCTTTAATAACTTAGGACTCCAAGAGCACTTGAACTTCATTGTTGAGTCTTTGGTTGTCTTATTCAAGCTGCATATTGAAAGTCTGAATCTCAATGCTCTCAGAATTTATTTAACTCATTTTCTCTTGCATGTTCTCCATTTCTTGCTCAATCAACTTTAAATCCTCTTGGTCTCTCTGGGCTTGTTAAACAGTATCTTGCATTTATTGGTTTTGAGCCTATAAATCATTTATATCAGATTCATATCTTTGGATTCTAGCTAATAGTTCGTTTGTGACTTTGTCTGCCAGAAACTTTTCTTTTTCTAGTGCTTCAAGTTTACACTAAAGATCTTTAGTAAATGATTGAAGTTGAGTCAGTCTATTTTTATTCAGCGAGTTTTCCTCTTTTAAAGAGTTATTCTCCTTTTCAATGAGTTCTATCTTTTAATTGTTTAGATCTATTTGTCTCTCTAGATGTTCTGCCTTGATTTCCTTTTCTCTTACCTTGCTTCTGTTTCTATCATCTACTCTCTGCCTTGCTGACACTCTTATCCATTTCTCACTTAATTTCTGCTTATCCTATTCAAGCAATTTCACTCTATCCTCGAGCTAAATATTTTGATCTCTCAGGTCTTGATTTCTTTTATTCAGATCTTGGATTTTCTTGTTGTAAGTCTTCTGCCTATCAGTGAACTTAGCCTGACTGACTTCACAATTCTCAACAAACACCTCTAACTCCTAATTACTTCTCAATTATCCCTCAATCAAGTTAGTAAGATTTTAAATCTCTGACCTAAGCTCTTGGTTCTCTATTTGCATTTAGCTGCATTTCTTTTGCATATATTCTTCGCTTTAAATCGTCTTAATCAACTTCACGTCATACTCCTACTAGGCTTTAACATGAGCTTAATCACCTTTGACTTTGAGTGACTTTACTTAGTCAATAAGCTGTTTATTCAACTTGACTTGCTCGTAGTACTGTTCCTCAAAGTCAATTTACTTTTTAATGAAAGTCTGAGATGGAATGTGATTGCTCAAATGGTGAATATGCATTGGGGAGGTATTAATGTTTTGGTTTTCTTTGTTGGCTTAGTTTTGAAAATCAAACCTAGATTGGTACATTGACTAGGGGGAAATCATATATTGCTTTGGCGACTATGGAGAACCGCAAGAAGTATTAGTGAACTTATAATTCGAGGAGGTGGAAATCAGTGCTGCGTTTTCATTGTAGGGGTTGGCGATGTTGTTATTGTTTGATGGTGACTTAGTTAAGTTTAGAGAAGACAATATCCTTCTTGATTGCTAATTTTTAATGACTTCCCTTCTACCGAGAGACTCATGGTTCTCTGTTTACCTTCTTTCTACCGAGGACTTTTGAATGTCTGGGGAGAAGGCATGATCTTAGATAAGATTATGGTGATGCTGAAGATCTCTGAATGACTGACAAGACTCAAGCAAATTGTTATTATAAATTTCATCTTGAGACACCATGTTCTGATGGGAAATCCTAGATGATTAATTATCTTGTATCTTCATGATAGGAGACCCTATCTGATTAAATGTACTTTGTGTATTCATTCCATTGGTAAGAGTTCTCTAGGTGTCAAGAGCATTAAAGTTATGATTAGAGTCAATGTTATCTGGGTAAGTTGGCTTGGCATTCATTTCTTCTGGCTAGTTAAAATATTATGATTAGCTTGTGGAGATGTTGTTGCTTAGTTGGAACCTTCCTTTTATATGTGAGATTTAGTTTTTCATGTCACTTAGGAGACTCTAATAATTGTCAATAAGCTCGCAAGTCTTCATTGTGCTCAGATTTATTTCTTTCGAAATCCCATTGTGATACATATGAACTTAATTGAAATCTCTATTCGAACTATCGAAATTATCATTTTCAAATTAATCTGAATTCATAATTTAATTGTTTATTTAACTAACATGCCTTTTTCAATTAACTCAATCTGCTGGGGTTTTGGGGTTTTGGGGTTTTGGGG